GGACATTAACTTCATCATTCAGAGTCAAAAGCACTCAGGATTTCAACTGTCAGCTGACTAAGTCCCCCAGGTCATGAACAAGACCCAGTAGGCCTGTCCTGTCCTTTTGTGTTTTATAAAGGTACAGGGCCACTCTGTTGAAGAATCTAGTCAATTTTTTGTGAATCTCACACCTGGCTATTGTTCCCTATTGCTCCCAGGTGTTAGGTAAATTCTTGGGAGGAATGCAACTCCCAGCCCTCATGCCTTTCCGGTCTCCTGTCTGATGGTGTTTCTGAGGAGGGAGAGAGGGGCTGGTTCCTCTTAAGAACCCACACCAATCCTGTCTATGGCTCAAGGCTCTAGTAAACAAAAATTCTGCTCTGGGCCTCCTTCGGTAAAAGCCTTCAGATGCAAGTGAAGAAACTGACATGTATTGTGTGCACTAACATCATTCTATTGGAATTTAATTAAACCAAGAGTTAGAATTATTTTTATTATAGAGTTGTTTACTTTTCAAAGAAAAGATTCTTGATGGGTTTTGCAATAAATTACATGTCTTCCAGAAAGAGTAGTTCACCATCGTTTTTTTTTAACTGTGTCATATTATGTGAATAGGATAGCACACCCACTCTTAAAAAACCTTTAAGTCACAGGCCAGGTACATTAACCCAGGTGCTTCAAAGCTGTTTCAGGTGTGGCACAAATGAGTGCAATGCCGCTGGTTCCTCTTCAATCCCAAGTAACTTCCTGCAGAGCCATTTCCTGCCCAGCCAAAACTACTCTCTTCTACCAACTTTCTCAGAAGACAGCTGAAAAGCAGGACTGATTACAGCTCAGCAAACCCAAAAGTGCGACAAAACCAAGAGCTTAATACAAATCTTAGTCATCCTCTTCAGTAAAATCAATAACCAAACACCAACCAAAACTTAGTTCTTAAACATAAAGCAAAATGAAGACTATTTGCTAGCTTTGAAAACTAGAATAGAAAAAATGATATACAATTCAGAGGGCTCCAAGTTTATTAATGAAATGTCCCCCTAACCATTTTGGTTTGTGTTTTTTCCCCCCCAGGGCAGGCTACGATTTAAGTTTATATTTCTAAATATAGAACTTTAGGGAAAGTAGCTCCTGTCTGAATTCAAAATCATTATCAAGGTATAATAAATGTACCCAAATGCTCATGACAATAAATGTTTATTAAATTAGAAGTCACAAATGAATTCACAACCTTTTTGCTATATAAGTTACATAATATAGATAGTAAATCACTTGTCTAATTATGCCATTAAAGTTCCTTTTTGCTCCACACTCTACACAGGCAGGTCTCTCTCAGCTGTCCAGGTATCCAGTTCCTAAAATGCCCAGCAGGACTGGGACATCCAGGGAAACAGTAGTGGCCAAAATGAGAGGTCATGAGGCTCCTCTTCCAATAATTTCAATAAAACCAATGGCCTTAAGTAAAAAGTGTCTCTATGCTTTGCTATAATAACATTTAAACACAGGATTCCAAGAATTCCACCTGTTTCCAATTAGATAGCAGAATTGCTTGAGTGTTTAAACTACATTCACTTGCTACTTATACAAAACAATTCTTCCGGGTTTTTTTGAACATTTTAAGTATGTTAAAATAAGATTAAGGGTCTGGTTTAAACAATCCGAGGCAGGGGAATTTCAATTGAAACCAAAACTATCTCTCTGCAGCCATAATGCAGAGCTTAAGACAAAACAACAGGACAAGATATGTGACTGTCTATCTCTGAGGATTACTTGTAAAAATCAGATCTTTCATAAGGAAAACAATTATATTTTAAAGTTATACATTAGTGTTTATTAAATATATATTTTTATTGGTTTCAGAGAGAAATGGAGAGAAAGAAATAGAAACATCAATGATGAGAGTCATCAATCGGCTCCCTCCTGCACGCCCCCTATTGGGGAATCGAGCCCAAAACCCAGACATGTGCCCTGATTGGGAATCCAACCCTGACCTCCTGGTTCATAGGCCCAGACTCAACCACTGAGCCACACCGGCTGGGCTGTACATTAGTTTTAAGTAGGTTTCAAAATAATCTCTAAGATTATGTATGATCCTATATGTTAGAATAACTTCTATAAAAGACTTTGGGTAACATTTGTGTTACAGTCATCAGATACACTCATGTGAATTTACATGAGGCCAAATCTGTGAACTATCCCAATATATAATGGAAGCACAAGGAAGAATGTGGCCTAGCTCTGCAAGAGTTTTTCACATACTGACTTTCTCTTTTTTTAAAAAAGAACACGGTTTCCTCCAACAAATTTGTTCTTCCTTCATTTCACTGTGAATGTTCCTTGGGCTTTATAAATGAGCTGAAATGAATAATGCTTTTTCTACTGTGAGCCTGTTTTCTCTCCTAAAACACAGCCTGTGAGCACAGCCTTGAGGAGTTTTGACTGTGGACTGTTGCTGGTAGCCTGGGGGGAGGGGGGTAGACAGAAGTGGGGGGATCTTACAGGAACACAGACTACTGTTTCTGCACAGCTCCCACATAAAACCTGGTGGGTTTGTTTTAATTGTACACAACTGAGGGGAGGACTTTTTCAGCCATTAAAGGTCTTGAGCTCAATCAGCTCGTTAGCTCAGTGGATTAGGAGAGGTTAGCATTTTTAGGTTAGCTCAGTGGATTAGGAGAGAATAATTCCTAAGGGAATTGGCAATCTATTCCCTTTCTCTTTCCAACTTCCTCATGTAGCTAACTACTGGTAGAAGATGGGTAAAATTGGGAAGCAAGTGAAGGGGGTCTCTATGGACACAAACGGTATGAGAAGTTGTTGTATAACTTCATTCCTTCACTGACTTGCACCAAAACAAAAACAAACAAAAAATACACATAATTTCACAGAAAAAAAAAGCAAACTTCAATCAACTGATAATGACTGCTCCCCATACCCAATCTCAAAGACACCGATATTAAAAGAACCAAGGAAATAAAGAAAGCAACAGCATGGAAACCCCTGATTTGTTTACTCATTATTTCATAAAGGTACTCGATGGGACACATATTTCAATCAAAATAATATATTTCTTATGGAAATAGTACTGGATGACAGGTAACATACACACTTCCTTAACCAAGAAAACAAAATAAAAGCAACCAGAAAATGGGCGTACAGCAAAATTGAAATTGCTTTCTTGTTTAAAAAAAAAAAAAAAGTAAATGTTTAAAGTTTTACTTATAGAGGTTTTTTAAAAAGGAACATCAGTCACCAAATAGGAATAATGCCTCCAACGAAAGCAAGTCACTGGCAGGCTCCATCCCAAAAGTTGTGCTAACATACAGAGTTACTTGAGCTTGTTTTAGAAAGTGTCCTCTTTTCAAGCATGTATTTAAAAGGCAAATTTATACAGTGGTGTTTTTCTCATTTAAAAAAAAAAAAAAAAAAAAAGCCTGGTTTTTACAAGTGTGGGATAGGATAAAAACTTGTCCAACTAGTCTTAGCAATGCCAGAGCACTGAAACTTCCATACCACAAGCTTTGGGGACTAAAAAGGAAACGAAATAGAGCTCAGTCTTCGGAAACTCTCTTCCCAGGCACTCTTCAGTCGCAAGACAGCTTCAAGACTGACCAAGCAGAGGAATAAGAACACAGCCCTGGCTCACTGGTTGTGAGAGAGGCCACACCCAACTAGCAGGGACCCACTGAAGTCTCTAACCTGGATCTGGGTCCAGCTGAGACCAGCCTCTTCACCCTCGGGTATCAATGCCACAACTCACACTGGGCTCCGCAGGCAACCTGATCTCAATGGAAGGGGTTCTGGAAAGATGAGAAGAATCTGAAACTAATGAATTCTCTCTTCTCAAACTGCAGTCTCATTGGGTCACTTACTGTCTGTGGGAATAGAGATGACACTAAACTAGATATCAACTCAAAAGGCCTCTTCAGGGCCCAGAGAAAGAACCAGTTTAGCTTAACTTTGAACTTTGGTAGTCCATAGTCAACTGAAGTTTTTTAAACATGTGAAAAAAGCGGCAATAGGAAATCATCCAAGGCCAAGTCATGTCTACCATCAAAAGCCAACTTGTGCTCAGGAAAGAAAAATATGTTTTAAATTCAAGATCAACGTCTAATGGTTCATTCACATAAACTGAAAGGGAAACTTTCAATCGAATCCTAGAGTTACACAGTTAAGTGTCCTCACCATATCCTGAATAAGTAGCTAGCTAATCACTGGGGGAGAGAGGGTGACCTGAAAGACTTCATAAGATCTAATAACGCTCTAGAAGCCAAATGCATTTCCCAGGCAGTTTTTCCAGGATGCTTAAAAAAGAATGTCACATTCAGGAAGACAAGAAGAAGGGGGAAAAAAGGAAAAGAAAAGAAAATTAAGGCTTGTCTCTTAAAACTCCACAACGGGTTTTACAGTAAGCACAGGAATTAAATTATGGTAAAAAGGAGCTATTTTTACTAAAACAGGGTAGACCAATTTATCAAAAATGCCATTTGGCTGTGTTCATTACATTCAGGAATTTAATTTACACAATAGACACTTTGGAGTAATCTATTTTAGTCAATAAATACTCAAACTCCTTTTAAGTTTTAATCTTATCGGAAATACATATTTCACATAGTCTTCTTCCCAGTGAAGCGAAACATTTGAAGAAATTTCATAACGACGATGAGTCTGCATTACCAAGTTCTTACGTAGGCAAGGGCAAGAACAAGCCTATACAATTAAAGTTGTCAGGCTCCATTTATATATATGTTTTAATCCAATCTGCTTCTTTTCATATAAGCCTGCATCTGGATTTCATTTGCTTTCCTCCTAAAAGTAGTGCAGGTCACAATCACCGGTTCTCCGGGTGAGGAAAGTTCGGCCAAGTTTACCTTCACGCACACCTTACAGTGGGGAGCAGTAGCCGGCCCTCGGGGGCGCTGAGGGACCCCTGAAGCGCCGGGGCGCCCCGGGGCTCTTTGAAGCCGCAGGGGGTCCCCGGCGCTCCCAGAGCCTCGGGCCCACACGCCGCCACCGCTCACCTTCAACTTGGCTCCCGCTACGCCGCACACCATCCACCGGGCCGAGTCCCGAGGCTGTCCGGGCGCGGCGAGCTTGGAGCCGGCAGGTCCGGGGCGGCCCCCGCGGGCGCGCCGCTCCTCCGGGTGGGAGGCGGACCGCGAGGACGCACCCCCCGGGCACGGCGGCGGCTCCGGCGCCGGATGGGGAGCCCCGGCGCGATCGCGGGCCGGCGCCACGGGCTCGGCGCGCGGACCGCGGCCCCGCACGCCACGGTTCGGCAGGGCCCCAGGGGCTGTGCTTTCGAAAACACAACCCGAGGAGGCATTTCGGAGCCGACCCGGAGCGCGCTCCATCGCACCCCCGGACCCCGCTGGGAAGGGAGAGCCCGGGAGGAAAGGGCCAAAGGGGAGTGGGAGGATGACTCGGGGCCGCGGGAAGTCCTGGGCGCCGGTGAGGCCGCCGGGACAGGCGGCGCCCCCCGCCCGGGAAGGCAGCGCACGGGGACTCGCCGCGGGGCCGGCGCCGGGAGAAAGTTGCGGCCCCCGCACGCGCCCGCACAGCCGACCGCTGAGCGCTCCCGGGCTCCCAGACACCCAGGCTCCGCGCGCGGGGCGACCCCACCGCCCCCCGCAAGTTTCCTCCAAGCGCCCCCAGCCGTGTCCCCGGCCGCGGGGGAGCCGGCGGCGCCGCTGGGACAGGCACACAAAAGAGCGGGGCGCTGGGGGGTCTGCGGGCGCCCCGGGGCTCCCGCCCAGACGTAAACAAACCCCGGGGTCCGCGTTAGGAGCCCGACACCGAATGCGGGAGCGGCCCCGCGGCCCCGCCCGCTGACAGCTGGGGCAGCGGCCGGAGCCCGCGCCGCCCGGGCCGGGGCACTCGGACGCCTGCCGGCCCGCCCGCCCGCCTGGCCGGAGCCGGGCCGCGCCGCCGCCGGTGGCCGCTCTGACCCTCCCCCGAGCCGGCGGCACCACAGCGCCACCAGCCCAGCTCCGCCGCGCCGGCGGCAGTGGCGGCGGCGGCTCCTCCTGGAGAGGCAGGGCGCTTCACCCCCCACAGCAACTCCCCACAAACTTTCCCCGGGAATACGGCGGGCCGGGGGCGCGGGGCGCGCGGCCAGGCGCCACCGGCCGGCCGCAGCCCCCTCCCGGCGCGGCGCCGCCGCCGCAGCCGCTCCCCGCTCCCCGCGCGCGCACCCCGCGGGCCGCCGGGGCCGCCCCCTCCCCGGTCCCGCGGCGGCGGCGGTGGCGGCGGCGCAGGGCCGGGGGGGGGGGGCGCCCGGGGTGGGGGCCGACCCCGGGGGCAGCGGTGGCGGCGGCGGCTCCCGGCGCCATCTTGGGCTGATCGATGAATTGAACAAAGAGGATCAATTTCTGATCAAGCGAGTGATCAATGGGGGCCGGGGAGAGAGAGGGACTTGTCCCCGACTCGGCCCGGCTTTCCCCGGCACCCCCTCCTCCCCGCCGCCGCGGCCCCCCGGCGACCCGGCAGCCCGGGGCCCCGGGGGAGGCCGCGACCGCCCGCAGCCCCCACCCCGGGGCGAGAGGCCGAGCGCGGAGAAGCCTGACCTGCAGCTGCTGTAAATCAAAGCGCTTCCAATATTGAAACATCGATCCCACATTGGCCGCCATCTTGAGACATATTGAGACGGAATGAGAGGCTGATAGAGAGGGGGCTGGAGTTCAGGAGCCGCCAGGAGGCAGCAGGCGGGCGGCGCCAAAACCCGGCCTGGAGCCGGCCGTCGCCGCCTCCGCCGAGGACGCGGACTCCTCCTCACGGCGCCGCCGCAGCCACGGCGAGCCCGAGCCGGAGCCGGAGCCGGAGCCCGAGGGCGCGGCGGCCGCCACCCGGCCCGGCGCGTGCGGGACCTGCCCCCTCCCCCCGCGCCAGCCCGGGGCCCGCGACCCCCGCCCCTCCGGGCCCCCAGCCCCGGCGGGCGAGGCCGCCGGCCCGGCCCCGCCCCGAGGGGGCGCTGGAGGGCAGCGGAAAGGGCAGTCCGGGCCGCGGCCGGAGTCCCCCGGGGCGTGGGTCGGGGCCCCCGGGATCGCGGTCGTTGGCCCAGCGCGCCCCTTCGGTGTCTGAGGTTGCGGGGTGCTGCCGCGTTCAGGGCGGGCGCGGAAACGGCGCTGCTTTCGCTCGCCCTCCTGCGGGGTGCACAGCGCGCCGAGCCGCCGGGACCACCTGCCCGGCCCCCATTCGGCGCTGCACCCCCACTCCTTGCACCCCAGCCGACTCCGAGACCGAGCCCGCCGGGGACAGCGTTTGTTTGGTAGTGCGGGGAGTAGATTTAAGGGAAGCCACCCCTGACCCTCCCGTAGCGGCACAGATGAATGCCCCGGCACAGCGTCAGCGCGGTCCCCGCGCGCACGTCCCCGCGCCGCAGCCGGGCGGCCGGCGGTCCGAGCGGCCCCGATCGCCGGAGCGGCGCCCGCTAGGCCCGGCAGGAGAAGGCTGCGAGCCCCGCTCCGCTCCCCCCCGCACCGCTCCCGCGAAGCAGCCCTGCAAACTTCCTGCACTTCAGGCACCTCGGGTTCCACTCCTTTGGGTGCAGAAACTTGGAAAGTTATGGGAGCCCTTAGATCAGAAAGCATGGTCTTTCATTTACACAAATGCTAAAATTTATAAACCAAAAAGTCAATTCTCTTGATTTTTTTCTTTTTCGCAGAAACCCTTGGCCAAAGCACACGTTTTATGTTCGTCATCTTTAATTGATTATATACACGTGTTAGTTTTGGAGTTTCCAGTAGGAATACTGTACTTTTACTCTCCCGCCCTTCATTTAACCTGTAATTAGTTTTTTTTAAAAAAAAAATCCCCAAACTCCTTAATCTTGAAACTTATATGTAAATAAAATTTGTGTGAACTACAAAGTAAAACATGTAAATGAGATATAATTGCTGTTCAGCTGAGTGCGAAGGCCTGGCACTGAGCATTTGTGAACGAGGGGCATGGAAGTGGAAGCGCCAGGACTTGGAGCCCCTGGTCCCGCACCGCTGACCCAGAGCTTCGGTGGAGTTACGTGCGCGATCCCCAGGGTCTGGAGGGGGTTCTCTGTGCGTCTGCATCGCATTTTTTCCAGCAGGAGGGGCAGGAATCAGGTGTGAGAGAGCGCGCCGGGGCCGTCAAGGGGTTGGGGGGGAAAGGGGATTCGAGAGCCTCGGACTCAGATGCCACGACGCCGTGCCCAGCAGAGCACTCCCGACCTCCGACGCCAAGGGCCGCCTGCCAGGGTGCAGGGCGCCCCAACCGCGCGCAGCCCACCGGCGGCCGCGCTAGAGCTCCGACAGCGCCGCCCAGCAGAGGGCAGCGGCGCCCTGACACTCGAGTCCTCGGGTCCCCGCGCACGTGCCCACCCGCTCGCCTGGCCACGCCCTGTCCCAGAGTCAGGCCTCTGGCGGGAAAGGCATTGCCACCTCCGGTGATTCCTGTCCCTATGAAAGGCGGTATCTTGACTATTCCTCCCCAATTCCATGCTAACGGCTGCGGATGCCCTCCCCTCCTGTTTGTGCAGTGGCAGGCAGGGGAAACCTAGGGATTGCCCTCGAGATGACTCAACAAATAAAATGTGCAGGGGCTTACACACACACACACACACACACACACACACACTCACTCACTCACTCACACTCCCTGGAGAAGGCTCAAGGAAGGATCAGGGAAATTGTTTTGATTTGGTGCAGATGTTCTCAATCTAATTATCGTGTCAATCCCCTGGGTTTGAACCAAAAAAGTGAAATATATATGACCTGTGTAATACTCCAGAAGTACATCAGGTTGAAATTCAAGGTTCCGAATAATCCACTGCAATATTTTAGAGATAGATGTGATGAGTATTAAATACCCTTGTTACACTTATGGTTATATTTACATTATTTGCACGTTAACTTAACTTAGAAAAACAGTACGTTGAATGTACTTAGAAAAACTACGTTGAATTTACATAAAGTTTAATTTCTTCTACCCAAGTTTTGGGTTATACAAGGCTTCTTGCTCTCTATTAGGGTAGGGCAGGAGTGGGGGGACAATTTCTAATAACTTTGCCAGCACCTCAAAATGTTACCACTTTAAAATGGCGTCAAGATAAACCACTGATAAAAAATTATCTTAACTCAGGGAAATAATCAACAGGGACCTAAAAAATTTTTTAAAGTACCTTTATTTTTCTTCAATACAGTCAGAATAGGAACAAATTATATCTGTTTTTAGAGGCATTTTAGCTTCCAGTTTAACTTTCATTCTCACCATTGTGGGAAATCAGGAGGAACCACTGCCATCCAAGGATAGTGGGTCTACAAAGCTTTTTACAGTATAAAATACTCAGGAAATGGAAAGATTTGAGAACTTAGATCTCCATTAACACCTACAAGGACAATAAAATAATTGCTATAATCACCCAGAACAAAGTGTGAGAAAGAGGCAGGTTAACAAGATGACTGGCCCAGTACCAAGAAGCACCTTGATCAAAATTGATGTTAGAAGTAAGCACAAGAAAAACAATCCAGAGGCATCCTTTTCACTTTTAATGTTCAGGCTCTCTCTGTATGGATAGAAAACTCCTACTTCTCAAGTATGTGACTAACTTCCTCAAATTCCCAAGTATCATATCCCAAATATTAGATGGGGTTCCTGACACCTTTAAATGAAAGGCAATGTAGCACCAAATAAGGCAACTAAATAACTAATATATGAGCCCAGAATTCCTAAGTTACTTTTCCGACTCATTTCATTCTGCCTAAGCAAAGATTGGTGGCCATATTGGGATGTGATAATACTAATGAATACAACTTACAGAAAATTGTCAGGTACTTTTAGCAGTTCACACATTCCCATCTTTCTAGCATTTTGTGGAACCTCCTGTCTCCCAACATCTACATATGATTGATTAAATCCATTAAGGTGAAAATTGGAAAATTCTCTAAAATACTATGTGAGTTGATTATTACTAAATTCGTCCTCTTTCGGTAGCCTCAAGAAAGGAAAATATATTACCTTGTTTTCTAAAGATTCTAATTTAGTAATTATTCTGATACACTTAACCTAATTCCTTGAAGGAATTAACCATCAAGAATTTCTTCCAAACTGAAAAATGTCTTACAATGTAGGGCATCATAAAAAAATAAAAAAAAAAGATTGATTTATTCCTCCACAAAAGACTCATTATATTCTGAAATCTTATTTATAATGGACTCATAAAGCTAAGTTCCACCTAGAAACTTTATCTCCAGAAAAAGTTGGAGAATAATCTGGAGTTTTTAACCTCAATCCAAGAATAATGAGGGGAAAAAACAAAAAAACCAGAAATCTGAATCCTATATAATATGCTTTAAAAAAAACTGAAAAAGATTCATTCTAAGACCTTGATTCACTTTCTGAATATTTTTGCATTCAAATTAGACTGGTTTTGAATAGCTTTCAACAAGAAACATTTAGCCAGATACAATACAAAATGCTGAATGTTTACATCATATCCATAAAGTCATGGCTACTTTTTGACATGGTAAAAATGAATCATATTCTTAATAAGTAATATAGGAATCTCAATTTTACAAATATAGAAATTGAAAATTATATCAAGATATTCATTCAAGTTGACTGAATTTGTACATGTTTTAAATTTAGGAATAGCTAAGGCCAGACAGAAGTTTTGAGACACTTTAAGTTTAAAAAGGTCTTTGCCTTAAATCAAAAGATTATACATTGTCTTTGGTAACTGCCTTCCAGAACAATTTGGCATAGACTACTGGAATAAATAAAAGGAAGATTCCAGAGTCTCTCTGTCTCTTCCTCTCTCTCTGTCTGGCACTCAAGCAAACCAAACTACTTTTAATTGTTTTGTTTTTTAAATAATACTTTATGTTAATTATTTCTAAGTACACTATTCACTGTACTATGTAAATACCCACCAAATAAAAGTACACATTTTGCTACATGTAATTACATGCATAGTACATAATTCATCTCTATACGCCAAATGTATGTGTAGTTATATAATTGTACCAAGAACCTGCCAAACTTGTAAGAACAAACTATAATGATTTCTGAACAGTAGACTCTCCTATTCACCACCCTCTCGGCCTCTCTCTGGTGACAGCATCTCTCAGTCTCTAAGACCCTTTTTGGAATCTTCA